TTAAAAGAAGATTTTTTTTTTTTTTTTCTTCCCTTTGGGGTCCAACCCCTTTTAAAAAAAAAAAATTAAAAAAAAAAAAAAAAAAAAAAGGAAACTGACATTTTCTGGCAATAAGTTAATGTTTTGCCATCTAGAAAGTGAGCCGTTTCAAAAACCTCCAGAATATAATGCTACAAATCAGCAGGCACTGCGGTGTTACCTAGCAACCCCCAGCCCATTACTTAGCAACACAAGTAGAGTTCCAGCACGTTTGGTCAGCTGGTTTTACTGCTGTGCGCGCTGTACAATGGCTGCTGGAAAAGACAAGAGTTTTGTCTTTGACTAATCTAACTGCTTTTCAAAGTTGTAAGGTTGTATTATTGTGGATCTGTTCGTAGTCACTTTCATGTGACTACTAACATTATGTTGGGGGTTTTGGCCAGCAGCAGTTTATCTGGATTTAAATGACAGGAGGCCCTGATAAAGCGTAATTTGAAAGGAGCTCAAAATATCAGAACTGAAATCTCATTATCCAAGAATGATTTTGTCAAAAATATGTGTTATTTTTGGACATAGACCTAACCTAACCTGTTTAAAGTAGAACCAGAACATAAAAAAAGGTAATATTTGGTTTTGGATATGAACAACTTACCCACAAGAACCACGGTGGCCTCAGCGTTTTCCGGAATCTTCTCCAGCAACTTCAGCTCGTGTTTGGACTTGGATCGATGCATGCCCGGCCCGAGACTCGGCTCCTTCTGCTGAAAACGCAACAACACGGACGATGAAGTGTGAGTGAGAGCCTCTACCAGCCGGGGGGAACCCAGACGTACCTGTGGCTCGTTCCTGTCGATGTCGATGCGAGCGTCATTGTCCACCTCGGACTTGACGGTTCCCATGAGCGGGTCGGTCACAGACGGCTCCAGCTGATGGTTGTGGTTGGCGGCGTGGTGGTGCGGTAAAAGGCTGCCAAGGCTGGCTGCTGAGATGTTTCTGGGGAAATGGCTAACGTGCTCCTTTTCATCGCTCGGGTGACTTTGGGGGGCAGCAAAAGGGAGAGAGAGGTTGAGCAAGAGGAAGAGGGGCAAAGACCAAGCATGAAGCCATCTACTAGCAGGAAGCAGCAGAGAGGGGAAAAAAAACTTTAAGGACAGAAGAAACAGCAGATTTAACATAAAAGTATTAATAAATTTGCATCTTTAGGGCCTTTTGCAGCCACTGGAATAGTTTTGTGGCTCCCACTTAGGCAATAAGCTCAACAATTTTCATTTGCATGATTTATCGTTTTTCTCTTTCTACCAAAAACTGGAGTCTTCAGTTTGGTGCTTTAGTCTCAACTATCCCTTTTTTGAAGGACAGTTTTGTTGACAGAGACTCTATAGCTAATTTTATTTGTTGTTTCTGTCATTTTGTTTATTTATTTTGGATATTTAAAATGTCTTCCTGTTCTTGCGTCATTATTACCAAAACAGTGTCATTACAAATTATCGTTTATTGCAATAACTTCTGGGGCAATTTATCGTCCAACAAAATTTGTTATTGTGGCAGACCTACTCCCACTCCAGAATAAAGGAGCTGTAAAGAAAAGAGCTTAAGAGGATGTAGAAGTCTGGTTTTAAGAGGAATGATCAAAGAGGCGTCCCCCACTGAATAAATGAACAGGAAGTAAAGGCTGCTTCTTCCTAAAATTGAGAATTTGCTGTGACAGTTAAATTTAGTTAGTAATATCTGATACTACTGATTAGTTTATGACTTTTAAAGGGGGAACAAAGCGAGTATTGTCAACAATCTGTGATAAAATCCAAGGTTTACTTCATCTTTCTACCTGTGTTTAAGCAGCAGAGCTCGCAGAACGTTGGATCTGTCCTCCGCTTTGATCTGGTCGGAAATGATCATCTGCTCCACCACCTGGTGGGCGATACCCGGCAGAGTCTTCTGGTCCAAATCCAGCAGCACCGCACCTGTAAACACAGACAGAACGCGTTTCACTCCTGCCAGGTAAGCAGCATCCGTTACAGCAAATTAAAGCACTTTCAAGGTGAAGTTTTCAAATGTTTTCAGCACCACAGTTTGGAGATGATTTTTTCCCCCTTTATACGCCTGAAGTTACAGAAAAATTTCTTTTGGAAAAAAGATTCTCAAAATTTTCTGGCATTTAGTAAAAATTATTTTGGTAATTCTAACCAATCTAAAGCAAGAATAGTTTAGTCTGATTTAAATTCAGATAGTGAGGAAAAAAAAGTGTTTAATATTTAGAGTTCAAACAAGATTTTCCAAATTTAGACTTTTAATCAAACATTAGATTACACTTTATTACAAATTAATAAATATCAATATAAATTTTTAAGTTTTCAAACTTTTCCAGCACCACTTTGGTGATAAACTACAGAAGACGGTTTCAATTCACAATTGCATGATATAATCCGTTTTATGATAGTATTGTACATCAGGGAAAGGTGAACTACAATATAACATGTTCTGAAATGTCTCCCTATAAACCTGAATGGTCTGAAAAGGCTAAAAACAAACAAATAAATAAATATTCTCACTAAGTTTTCTGGCATTTAGCAAATATAAATTATTTTGGTAATTTTAACTGATCTGAAATGAGAGAAGTTGGGTCTGATTTAGATTCAGACAGTGAGGCAAAATGTTTGATCTAATAAGAAAAAAAAAAGTCTCATTTAACTTCAAAAAGACACAGATAATGAGAATAAATTTGTCTTCATCTGTAAATAATGGTTCCCAATTTAAGGCTTTTCAAATGTTAGATTTATTACAAAACTGCACAGTTTGATTTCTGTATAAAGTCCTTGAAAGTGTTGGGTACTAAAGCACTTTCCAAACATTGAAAACAACTGAGTGAAATTAAAATATTTCCAAGGAATTGGGTGAAGTTTGTCGTGGTTTTACCGTGGGAGATGGTCCGCCTGAGCTCCAGCAGACTGCGGAAAGACAGCGACGCCACATGCGGTTTCCCCCAACGGTCCGTTTCCTCCTCCACGTCCTCCTCAAACTTGATCCAACGAGCCGTCTCCTTCCACTGCATCTCCTGGTTCTTGTCCATCGTCAGCTCGTTCAGCTCCACAAACACCTGCATATGCCAACTCATGTTAAACAGCCAGGCAGACATTCACACTCGGCATGGTTGCCATAGATTTGATTGGGCTTGTGATTATTTGAACTTTTATTTTGGGGATTTCCGGGTCAGAATTACAAACGCAGCTCCAAATGTATACATGTTTATTTAGCAGGTTGCAGAGACTTTACTTGTTTTGTAGCCATCAACAAGGTCTTGGCAAACTGAAAATTTGAGATTTATCACGATGAATTGATTATTGAAAAATTGATCAGTCATCAACTGGAGCACAGATTCTAAAAATGTCCATTTACTGAAACACTGACATACTCAAAGCAGTAATTAAGTTAAAACTGTACAAAAAATACACACATTTAGCATTTAAGATGATAAAAAACTAGAACTTCTCAAGTGGCAGTTTTAGCTTTACCTGGTTTAAATTTGGTTAAAACGTCTTTTAAGCGCCTTTTGCTATTCAGTTATTAATCTAGAAAAAGGGAATAGATCAGTTCTACAATGTCAACCAGAGACGATTGAGCTTTTCACAAACTGATGTTGGAAATGTTTTCTTTTTAGCTGCAGATGCATCCTTTGTTACAAATAATCAAGCATGCTCTGAAGAAATGCTAAGCCATTTTATTTTAGGCAATAAAATTGTATTTTCTTATGTTTATTTGCATCTTTTATTGTATTTCTAATATTGCAATCGAGTGAAAAATCTCCAGAATGTACCAATTTTTATACGATTAATCATCAGATTAATTGATTATTACGATAAGTTAGTTGATGCTCTAATTTAAATCCAGTTTTTATATTAAGGTTGAAGCAGTTTTAGTTTAAGATTAAACCCAGATTAAATTCAAACCGGCACAGCAATTGTTATTTTTCAGAATCATGTAGCTTCTGCATCGCTGCAACACAAGAAAAGTTCAAATAAACCAATAAAAGCCTTTGATTAATGACAACAATGATCAAACAAAACCAAACATATGCCAAACGTTCAGTCAAGAGACAATGATCCATATTTGATTTAGAGGTTAACGAGCTTTTGCTCAAGAAACCAACCAGCAGAGAGGATGCTTAGAAGGGAACCAAGCGAGCAGCTGATCCAGTTACTCCTATTTTTTAACTTTATACTCAACATGAGTTAAACAGTAAAGCTCAAAGACCGGAAATTGTGATTTTAGCCATTTCTGTAATGTTCTGAAATGAATGTAATGACTTGAACTGTTTCATTAGGCGCTCTCTGTTTTGGAAATGGTGAATATTTTTCCCCACCTTTGCATTCTTCGAGTTTACTTAGTTTAGCGATGTCAGTTCGCCAAAAGCTGCCATCTTGTTTTACAGCTTCAATTTATTTGGACTTTGAATTCAGGTATACTCTCAGACAAAGAATTTGGGCCAGGCAATGATTTTTTTTAAAATCATGACAATAAAGTCATAATATATCCAGAATAAAGCTGTAATTTCTGTAAAAGTAATAAAGACGTGATTTTATAAGAACTTCAACAGAAAAAATAAAATGAGGAATTTTGAGGATTTTGTGAATTTATACATTAGTACAAGTTTCACAGATGATACTTAAGAAAAACACTTAATTTTTTTAACTCAACATCAAATTATCAGTAGCAGGACTTTGAAATAGACTATTTCCATAATATTTTCAAAGAAAGAATCACACAAACTGAGCTATAAAAACTTTTTTCTGATTGAAAATTAGATTTCTTGTCATTTTTAAAAAACATTTCCTGATAATATTGTGTATTTATCCTGTAAATATGATTATATTCCCATAAATAAACAGCCTGACCCTAATACTGATTGAAATAACAGCCACTTTTTGAAAACATTGCCATATCTAATATCTTTTTTAGAACAGAAAAAAATATCTAAAACAATTTTATTCTTACGTCACATTGCCCAGCCCTAGTGGAAGCTGATATTTTAAAAACAACACGCCAACATGTAAGGAAAACCCGTAAAAAGTCAGTTTCCGCTCTTTCTTCGTTGGTTGTAAGGAGGTTAAATGAACACCATGCTGGTCAGTATCAGCCCAGAATAATCCCCCACCAGAAAAAAAAAATAAAACTAGCTCCTCTGCAGCCGCTGCATGCCTGTCAAACCACGCTCACACAGGTCAACGCTAACTCTGGCCGGTCACCCAGCCTCACCTTCTGGTACCGGGCCATTTGACCGGGGTCCATGTTCAGCAGGATGCCGTCGGGCCGCGAGGCAGAGCGGTACAGAACCACCGGTACGGGCTGCAGGAGAGGACTCAAACAGTGAGCCGACTCAGCAGAGCCACGCTTTTAAAGACGCCTAAATCTCATCACACACACCTGACAGGAGCATGTACGAGAATGCGTGTCCGTATTAATAAAACAGATTCCCTCGTGTTTTTTTTTTTTTTTTCCTCCCAGTGTCTGGTTACTCTGAGCTTCTCTCCCGTCTCGGCGCGTGAAAGGGAAGAACTCATTCATTCATTTTTAATCATCTCCCTGTCGCTTCTACAAAAGAGCCCGAGCAGAACTAAACCCGAGACGGAGAGACGGGGGGGGGGGAACGGCCGCCATAATTTGTTAGCCATTTCAAACCGATTTGAACATTAAAACATGTATTAGAGCTAGATTTTTCATATTCAGGAGTAAATGTTAACTTTCCTTCCACTTTCCAGATAACTTTATAGATGCTTTTCAAACTGTTTCACATACAGTACTTATCCAGGAAGTGAGTTAGCAAGAATAGAAAACAAATTCAGATTGTTTTCAGAGAAATGACTGAAGAAAAAGAAGAAATTAGCCATCAACAGAGTAAATAAAACATGAGTTTTTTAAGTTACTGATCAGAAAATGATTCATTTTAGATTTTTCCTTCATTATTATTGGATTTATTATTGGATCATGACACATGATCATTATCAACAGATTGGCTTTAGCTGCTTACGCTAGTGGGATCAACTCACTCACTCTGACTAAGTTGCTAGGTAACCAAAGACTGGTTACCTAGCAACAACTTGTGGAGTATCTGACGCAGCAGCAGTCTAAGGTTTTGCCTCTGTGCCTTATAACTTCTTAAAAATAAACAAAGTGGAGTGAAAACTGTAGATAAAAGAAAGATCATGCCAACAGTTTGGCAGAATTTCAGATATTTAAAATAAAAAACTAATGACTAATCTATAGACTAATATGAAACACTTCTATATCAATATGTTCCTTCATCCAGCCCCATTATCGGGTAATGTACAATCCTACTCCATCTTTATTAAATCAAAAAACAAATCTCCCAAAAGATATTTGTTGTTTTTACTCAAATATTTTTGTAGCGAAATTAGAAAAATTACACAAAAAATAAAATCCTGCCCCAACAACCCTGGGCAGGGTTTAACAAAAACAACATATCTAAACAAATGTCAGTTTCAATGTAGCAATTTAGAAGCAAATAAGACCAAAAATGTTTTTAAAAAGTTCCTAATGTTTATTAAAAGTGATGGATGTTACGGTATTTGGGAATGTTGAGGCTGAAAATGAGGAAAATCTTCCTCCAGCTTTGGGAAAACGTCTCCGGTTCCATTAAAGGACCAGAACGGTCCAGTGGAAAGTCTCACCTCGTGTGGGGTGCGGTCTTGCTTTTTGCTGCGAGTCGTCGGCTCTTTGTGGTCTTTGCCGATGTGCACCATCTGCCCCTTGGTGCTCTTCCTGACCAGGTGTCTGCGCACGCCGGGAACATCCTCAAATCGATGACCTGGGGAAACAAAATGACAAAACTTTGATTGGAGTCTAAAAAAACGTGATTGTTTTTACGATATTTTCACTAAAAAGCAGAATACATGAGTCCCTGAGCATCCTCGCTGGTTGCTGCAGCCTTGCTTGCACCTTTAAACCAAATCTCTGCCCACCTGGTCAAAGGCCTCCTGGCCTTTTTGTTTCTACAGCAGGGAGTAGAGTTACCCATGCTGGCAGCACACCAGGCATTGAAAAGCAGAGAAAGGACGAGAAAGGACAGTTGTACTGGGTAACTCAGACAAAAACAGCAAACGGAAACCGTTCTGAACTCAAAGATCAGTGGACCTGCTCACAATTACGGCAGATTTGTTCCAATTGTAGAAATCAATGAAAGAAAACATGGTTGCATTAACGGCACACGAGCATTACAAGAAAATGGTTATTAACAGACAAATTAACTGGAGATAATATTTAATATGTGTAAGAAAATGGGAGGAAAGAACAGCCTCTGTCAGACTCAAAAGATTCAATTTGAATTTTAGAAACCAAACCTGATGATAAATTCTGTTATTATTATGGAAGAGGGACTGGGGCACAAAAAGAAGCAATTAAAAATCTGACTTTTTTTTTCAGAATTCTTACTCTAATGTCCTGACATCAAAAGTCAGAAATCTGAGAGAAAAAAAGGTCAAAATTCTGAGGAAAGAAAATTCTCAGAATCCCTTAAAAAATAAAATAAAATTGTGAAAAGAATGAGGAAAACGAGGAAAAGGTCAATTTCTGAGAAATTTTTTTAGAAACAATTCTGGAGAAGAAAAATAGGGGGAAAAAATAAGAAAATTGAGAAAAAATATAAAAATCCATCAGTGGTCCCAATTCTGTATTAAATAGATAAATTATCATTTATTATGTTTTCAGTTTGTGTATTTTTTGTTTCTTTGCACTTCATACCATTTAATTGTTATTTTCGTTTAAATTATTCTACTTTGCATTTCAAACATTGTAATCTTTCCCTGGAAAACAAAGTCATCATTGTTTTGTTATTATTATTATTATTATTATTATTATGACGCACAGGGATACTTATCTTTTCTTCTTAAGAAACTGGCATTATTATATTGAGACAGGATGTTTTGTAAAATGTGTTTATTGGGAATCAATGAAGCAAAAAAGGGGGGGAAAAAACTCTTGCAGCAACATTTTAACAAAATTAACTTAGAAAAATGTAACAGAAAAGCTTTTAATGTTCGATATCAAAGTGCTGACTCATAAGTATCAAACAGTCCTAAATAAAAATACTTTAATCTCTGCCTTGTTTGCACCAAACCCTCCTCTACAAGATCCAGGTTTTATCCAGAAGTCGCTCCATGATGTCTGCAGGTTGCATCAAAGTAAAAAAAAAAAAAAAAGAAAGTTTCCAGATTTCCCCCCCAACATCAGAAAGCATCAAGGAGAAGAGGTGTTAATTTGCTGAAGTTGAACAGAAGTAATTCCTGTTGTTGAGCAGCAGCCAGAGACAAAGACTCTTTCCCAGGATGATTTATGGGAGCAGATAAAAGACGACGTGACGAAGAACGTCTAACGAAGCGGCTTGCACGCTCAGCTCGTCATCTCAAAGTCGCAGAAAGGACTAATTATCAAACCCGCACTTAATTTGGCCTTCATGTCGACTTAGCGTGTTTCGCTCAGAGGTCAGAAGCTGAGGTCCAGGTTTCCCCATTAGCCACCATGTTGGATCAGGCTTAAATCCCGAGGGCTTCAGCTGACAGCAGGAACGCCTAATTTAATCACGAAGGCCTGTTTCTAATTAGTCGCTGCTCTCCGCTGAGGGGTCGGCTTCTTGACGTAAATCACCTCGGCCCCTCGACGGCAGCGCTGGCTGAGCCGGAGGGGCCCCGCGCCGCAGCGGGGTGGGGAACAGAAGGAGGCTTCACCTCCGCGGTCCTGGAGGAATCTGAGGATCCCCTAAGCCAGGATTTGATTACACCACTGATGGAGGAATGAAGGTGCATCAAAGACGACGAGCTGGCATTGATTTAAACACTCTGACAAATGAAGTCCCAGGTATTAAAACGCCATGACGCACAAATACCGGTCAGAAGATACTAAAGCACGAGAACGCAGGAGGTTCCTGCAGGATCAAGACACACCAACATGTGTCAGTGTAATTAATCCACAATAAAAGGATAACTTTCATTTTAATCTTTCAAAAAATCTAATATTCATAATGTTTTAGCATGAATCACCTTTCGTTACACAAAAACAAAATCTTACCAAGTATTTTTTTCTTATTTGTTTCTATTGTAAATATCTCACTATCTTTGAAATAAGACAAAACTAACTTACAAGAAACATTTCAGCAAAATATAGAAACTTCTTTTAGGTCTATAATTCCTTAATATGACATTAACCACACTGAAAAGGACATGTTAAAACAAAAATTAAAATACCAGCATATTTGCTAGTTAATAAGTAATGAAAACAGGAAATTTCACTTTGTTTTATTCATATAGACATGAAGTTTTAAAACATAATCTAGTATATTTCACCCTCATCAAAAAGGTTTGGTAGCAGATTGTAATTCTGAAGTGCAAATGAAATTATAGCAAAATTATATTATTAGACCTTCAACACCAATAGACAAAAATAAAAAAGTGGGAGGATAATATTACATCAAGCATGTTTTGTTTTTTTATTCATATTATTATAGTATGAAATTTTATAATTGTCTTAATGTTTTTTTTTTTAATCAAACTAAGTTTTTATTTGTTGTTCTACCATTGATCTGTGATCTTATGAAGCATTTTGGTCACTGAGGTTGTTGTAAATATTTCATATAAATAAACTGACTTGAGGTAAAACATTGAAAAAATGGCACAAAACAAAAAAATCTGTTTAATTTTTTTTTTTATCTTTAATACTTTAATACTGTGCATAAGGTTGACATGGCAGTCATAAAAATGAATGTTTGACTGTTAAGGTGTCATTCAATAAATAATGACACCCTTAATGCAAAGTTGACTCTTTTAATGGACTTAATGCAAATTTTAATGCAATTTTGCTTTAAAAGTGTCATTATTTACCAAATGACAGTTGCTGAAATGTTCATATTTATTACAGGTATCATGTGAGTCTTATGCACCCCTTCAGATAAAATGTAACCAAATCTTTTCTAGTTGCTGAACTTTTAAAATCGTTGATAAAATTCTGCCCTTCATCTAACTGCGCGATTACTCACTCTTGATGCCGTCCAGGTCGGCGGAGGCCAGCGTCAGGGCTTCGCTCTCGTCCGTGGGGATGCGCTGGTACTTGGCTTGCTCGGCGCCCGTCATGTTGCCCGTCCGTCGGCGCTCCTGCAGGTCGTAGCTGCGGCTGGCGGAGGAGACCCGAAGCAGAGGCGGGTTTTCGGGCGAAGCCGAACGGGAAGCGGGGCTTGGGGAGCTGGGCGAGTCGGGTTTACTGCGGGAAAGGGGAGAAAACGTGGAAATTTGAGATGCTTTTCTAAAGGTATTTTACAAATGCACAAACATGCTCACTAACTCGCCGCCGCCTGAAAGTTACTTCCGCAAGGCTAAAGTACGCATATTTAATTAAAATCAAATTAAATCTTAGCTCAGTTTGCTCTGCAGCCGAACGGACGAAAGCTTTATGCAGCGTAATCCAGGCTGAGAATAAAACCTCGTCAAGTGGAAAAGTCTGTGTCATGAGGCGGAGTCGACAGTAGAGACAGGTGATTTATGGGCCAATGAGAACAGGATTGCTCTGGTTCATCAGATGATGCCCAGCAGGTCCACTACATGCCTGAGTCATGGTAACGAACAGCGAATACCTCAGAGTCTAAGGCGCACAATAACCTGAGAAATCTTTTCACCAGGCGATTTTTATTTGTTCATTTTATTCATTAAACTCTTGAGTTCTTCTATTTTTACACTACTTCTGCATACTCTGTGCCATTTCAGCCATTTAACTTTTACCAAATTCTACTTATGTGTCTTTTGGCATTTACATCTTCTACGGTTTAGAAATATTAAACTTTTTGTGACCACTGTAATGAATGGAAGATCCCATAATTTCTGAAAAATTCTGCGCTCATCCACAGCCAAATACTTCCACATAATTTAAGCTAGAAACTCCATTCATACTCTTAAATGTAGTCATATCCTTCTAACTAACTACTTCTGTTTATTTAAGCTTTTTTGCATCTTTTACAGATTTCATAAAATCCCTCTTCAAGTTTTTGCTTGTATTATTCTCAGTCTTCAGAAAAACAAAACAAAAAAAAAAAACTCTGGCGGAACCTGAAACTGCTGCTGCGCATGTTACTGAACAGGTTGTTGCTAGGCAACCATAACCTCTGGTGGAACCTGAAACTGCTGCTGCGCATGTTACTAAACAGGTTGTTGCTAGGCAACCATAGAATGAGTGAGTTAGTTGTTGCTAGGTAACCAAAGAGTGAGTGAGTGAGTTGATTCCACCAGCAGCAAACTTTCCAGATTGTTCTGGATCAGAGTTAAGTGAAATCATTCAATTCTATCGACTGTATTATCTATTGATATTATTGGTTTATTGTAAAAATGTATCTACTCTCTATGGTTTCTGTGCACAGACCTGTAAGACGTTCCATTCGTTTAGTTCTGACTTTTTGTTTTTTTTCTTAGATTGCAGATCATCTGAAAAATGTTTTTATTTACAAACTATAGCACTTTGTCTTTTATTTAAGGAATAAAACGACACTCACTCGAAGATGGATGCATCTTTGGCTTCTGTTCTCACAGGAGACTGGGGAACATCGTTTAGGTCTCGGGTCGAGTTGCCACGTCTTGAAATTTGGTCTTCATCCGATAAGAAAAACTAGAGGAAACGAAAAACGAGAGGTGCATTCACATCAGGAACTGAACAGCACAAAGAGGATTTTTTATGCTTTAATCCCAATATAAAATGCTACTTTCGTTGTTTTCCACTCATGTCTATATTGCTTATATTATTTTATTTGCAACATTCTTCTTGCTGTTCTTTATTCTTAAAAAAAAACAAAGCTGGCTTTGCTTTAGGAGCCTCTACTCGTTGGATTTGGTTTAGCCTTAAGATGATTTTAAATCATCTGTATATTGATTTAAAATTGAATATATATAAAATGATATTTTTAAAATCCCATTTAAAGTCTATTCTGAACGACTGAAGTATAAATTGAATCAGTTTTTAATTATTTTTTCCCTTAAATTAAATTTGCTGTAATAAAAAAACTGAAATAAAAATAGTTCTGAATATGATCAATAAGCAAAATATAAAACATATTCTATATACTTTTATATTGTAGTATAATACAAAATAAGCAATGAAGTCAGAAAACAAATTTATGATTCATAATATTTAATTAGTACAACAGATTATTAGGCCCGCACTAAGAAAAAATGTAAAAAAATTACAATAGTCATAATATCATGAGAATAAGTCGTAATATTGCAATTACTTTAGTAATACGACTTTATTCTCATATTTACTTTATTCTCAAAATGTTATGACCTTATTTTTATATTATCTGAACTTTAGTCTTGTAGTGCCATGACTGCATACTTTTATTTTCCTATTATGGCCTTAATACTCCATTGTACAAATCGTTTGGTTTTGTGTAAACTAATTTCATTTTCTTGAAGATTTCTGCATCGATGCTTCTTCATGCTCATCTGCTTTAAAAAAGGTTCAGGTAATTATAATAAGGTTATAATAAAATATACTTGTAATAAATATCCTGTGAATAAATTATGTGAGCAGTACCTCTACATCTCTGGGTTTCTCAGACTCCGATAGAACAGAATTGGCCTCTATGCTCTCTTCCTCCTCTTCCTCTTCATCCTCCCCTTCCTCTATTGGGCCACTAGAGGGCGCACGGCTGCTTTTATGGTCCTTGTCCTTTTTCCTTTTCTTGCTGCCTTTCTTCCTTCGTCCCTCAGTCGGCAGTTTGGACAGAGGTCGGTGGATGTGACGAGAGTAGTGACGGTGGTCTACGCAAGAAAAAAAACAAAAAACAGGAAGTGAAGGTGAACTAGGAAAATAAAAATAAAAACTGACCACACAGAAACGCTACTGCACCCAGAAATCAGAGTTTTCACTTTCACCAACTGGCATAAAGATGGCGGTCTTATAGACTTAGATAAAAGTCTTCATACTTCAAACTTTAGACTGAAAAAGTGCAACAGAAAATGCCTCATTTTAAGCTTAATTTGAACCGTTTCATTTCTCATCCGTTCTTTACACTTCAAAAGAAAAGTTTCAATACTTCAAAGTTGAGACTAAAAATGATTTTTGAATCATGTTGCATTTTTAGCGATAAAAAGAACTGAATTGTTTCTTCATAGTATTTTTTTTCCCTTTCATACGTTTTAGAAAACTTTACCAGGGAATAATTATTACTTGTGGAACAATATTCAACAGTTTTAACGTTTGACAGAATAAACGGAGGCAATCTGAACGCTCTTTGTTCTTACATTCGATGTCCTCCTCATGGTAGGAGTGAAGCAGCTCGTCTGGAACAGAGGCCGCAGGGCGGAGAATGTGCTGGAAACGTTGAACGCCCAAAGCTTTGTTCAGGTCGCCCTCATCCTCCTCTTCTCCCCGACGTTGGTGACCGTGAAGCGGAGAGGCTGGAGAAGCCTCTGGCTGCAAAAAACAAAACAGAAAATATGTAAATAAACCCATAACACAAAGGAGATTGGAAAGAAAAGAAGATGCAATGTTTATGTAGGAAGGCAGAGCGACAGTCTTCAGTCAGAGGCCTCTTCAGATCTGTTGCAAGACTGACTGCTACAAGAGATCCTTCGTACCCATCCAAAACAAGTATTTAATTGTTGAATACTTTATTATTCAAAATACTTAATTTTCTTTTAGGATAAATTAAGTATTTTGAATTGGATTTGATCCCCACACTGTACAGCTCTACTGTGAACAAAAAAGTACAGAACAAGGTAGGAAATAATCTCATTTAACTAGCTTTGTCTACTTTGATTTTTAAAAAGTAGGCTAAGAATTATATACATGTTCCTTTGTTTTGTATTTACCATTTGTATTGATTGTATTTATTTACAAAATGTGTGTAGTCATGTCATTTTAACCTTGTTTGTATAATGTTTGCTTTTAGCTGGACAAGTTACTCATCATACAGGGACAACAGATGAAAAATAGCTTTTTGGCCCATTCTTGTGCATTTACAAAAATTTTAATATGCATTGCCCCTTGCAAATGAATGAAAATATTTCTAAATTAGCACCTCAACATACAATTTTGATCACAAAAACAATTTTAAAAACATTTGGAGGGACTAATCAATGTGAAGAGATGTTGAATATTATTATTTTTTATATATATATTTCAATAGTTTGTTGGTGGCTTTTATCAGTAAATTCTGGCACAACCGACCCTTTAAAAGCCTTTATGAACTTGATATGACCCGAGATTATGTGCTACTCTCTTCCGCAAACTCTAGAGGGCGCCGTAGTCCTGTAAATCATCCCTAACGTCATATGACGGATCCTCGCATGCCTGGGATCTCAAATAGCTTTAAACAGGAAACGGCAGCCAAGTGCTTCGATCGGTTACACTCGTTTCCACGCTGCGGTGTGACTCGGATCACGTGGGTGATACAAGATCCCTTTGTTTTCCGCCCACGCAGCCCCGCCGGTGGGATATTGTGACACGGGTTGATCGATTCCAGCGGGGAGTCACGAAGAAGAAGCGTCGCCATGGCAACTCTGGAGGTTGCAAAGACCTTGCGGCAAAACGAAGACCTGTGTCAAAAGTCGCCTGATGCTACGTGATAAACTTCTCAGGAATTTGAGTCAGATTCGTGAGATTACCTGGAGTTTAGGATACTTTAAATATCTTTTAGTTTGTGCCGAACATAAAGAAAAATATCTAACTACATCTTAGCAGTTCAAGCCTAATTTTCAGCAGATGTGTAATAAAGACAATAAGCTCATAAAAAAAATCAATCAGAACATGATAACAGACTTCCTGTCTGAGCAGGAAGTTACGTGGTTCCTTCTTCGCTCCACATTCATCCCAGATGTTTTCAAAGATTTAGGCGTGAATACAGAGTAGGGGGTAAAGGATTCCCATAAAACCCCAATTAGCTGTTATATAGTGACAACAGGTTTTACAACAAACACCAAGGAGAGGGGAAGTTCAAAACTAACCTGCAGAAGTTTAAACATGCTTAAGCAAACATTAAGTATTGACCCCAAATCAGCTGCTACTTCATAGCTGCATGGTAATTCACCTTAAGTATATTAGAAATATACTTAAAATATATTTCAAGTACATTTATATACTTAAAAAAAGTATAGACATATAACATGAATTATTCTGCTTTAAACTAGATTTTAAGCTAATGAGCTGCTGTCCCGTCGTTGTGTTGATCTGATCTCAAAAGGACACAGCTAATGGGTAAATGCTAAATGTTAGCCTAGCGTCTTCCTGTAGCCTGATATTTGTATTTGTAGTTTTGAGGCTCGAGTTAATTGCATAGTTTGTCATTTATGCGTAATTAATCACATTTTATTCAAAAACTAGACAAAATATGCAACGTTTTCAAATCCAAAACCTTTTTTGCTGCTAAATTATTGAATAAATAAACGTATGAGCTCAACAAAAAGATTCGTTTTTAATCCGTTATTTAGGTTATTCAACCATCAGAACTTTGAATTAGGTCTAAAACCACTCTATATATGATGATGCAGTTCTTGTATCAAAGTGTTCTGTTCATGAGACTATTATACAGAGTGTCTTCAGTCAGAGGAGTTTTAGAGTTGCTGTAACAGACTGCTGCAACAACTCTAAAGAATCTTGGATAATACAAGTTACATTTAACTTCTATTTAAATGTTGCCAAATAATAAAGCAGTATGTTTTTAGTAAGTCTTTAGACATTAACTCAAGTAAAAGGACAAGTCTAAAACCTACAAAAGCAAAAATATTTCTGTAAGTAAATATTTTAATGGGTTAAAAACTGATTTAGTAATAAAATAAAATAAAAAAATATCTAATTCAGTCAATTCAAAAAATTGTGCTGTGTTTATTTTCACTTATATTTTGGTTTTGTAGTGAGTATATAGCGATTAAATAGATGAGTGGAGGATTATGGTTGCGGTAAAAAGGATTTTTCATAACCAATACCCTGAGGAGTCAAGAAAAAAATCAAGTTCAGCCAGCAGCAGCGAATGACAGGTGCAGTTTGAAAAACAGCAGGCGATTTCCATCACAGCTCACTGCTGAGGGATAAAGCAGCAAACCGCTGCAGGAACCAGGAACCGTTCTACTTCTGCTCATCACTGCATAAAGTCTGGTGCCATCACAATCAGATGAGATTATTTTAACTACAAAACACCAACAAAGAGGGACCGGCATCATTGGAACAAGCTGGCAGGAAAGTGGGATGAAAATCTTAAACTGTTCATCTTTACGAGAAAATAAGAAATCTAATTCTTGAAAGCATTTGTGAGTTTAACACACTTACCACCTGCAAAGCCGTTTGCAGAAAACTTTGTATAAATTAACTTTAAATAAGATGCTCACTGGTTGATTAAGATGGAAACACTTCAAGTCAATAATCAGAAATATGACACAGGCAATAAAAGGGATTGCAACAAAATCTAAAGCAACCGTCAATTTTTGAGAGAAGGACTTAAAACTTTAAATAAAATAACTGTTTTGTTATGTAGAAGTTGTGGAAAACCCCAAAATTCATATATTATGCAAACTTTTATTTGTTGTAGCTTGAAAACTGTTGCACTTTGGGTGCAAAAAAACCTAAATGAATGAATTAAACAGAAAATATTATTTATGTTCACAGCAGGGAAATGTAGAAGTAACTGAAGCAAAGTCAGGCAAATGGAAACTTATTCATACAATAAAGAAAACTGTTCAATAAGGACTTAATAGTTCACCGAGTGATTCCTGCAGATTTCATGCGTGTTGCATTATAAATAAACTGATCTCAGTGTTAATGTGTTTGCACAGCGACTGTGCTGTATGCTGGAGCAGCAACAGATTACATGCAGAGCGAGTTAGTCTTAAATCCCACAGAGTCAGCAGTTAGTGGGAAACCAGGGTTGACCCGGCTGTTGCTCCACCCGTCATCATGTTGCACCGTGTGGTTTAGCCGTCGCTCCGTTCCCGTCTCAACATGACACTGCATGGAAACCTGAGCCAAGGCTGCAACTCTGTTTTCATTACAGATGACCAGAAGAATTTGCATTATGCAAGCAAATTTTAATCACTTCCCTGTTGCATCATGTGGGTTTCCCTGAAAATCTGAGACATCATTACCAATCATTCTTTAAATAGCTTTTTATTGTTTTAAAAAATGCTTAAGATCACTTTTAAAAATCTGCCTCCAGAGCAAAGACAGCAATAGTGGCTGTCCACTGCACAAACACAATATTAATAAGTATTTTTATCTAGATTCTAGTGCATGTTTTAGCACACTTGAAATAAGACTAAACTAATTCACAAATAACATTTCAGTAAGATATGAGAATTTGTTTTATTTGGTTAAATCCTTAATATTTGTTTAAAAAAAGTCTTGGCTCACTTATTTCTAGTACTTTTTCATCATATTTGACATAAAACTCCAATTTCTTACTAAAAAGTTACTTGTATGTTAGTTTTTATCTCATTTCAAGTGCACCAACATATTTGCACTAAAAACTAGTTTTTAAACATGTAAGATTTTGTGTTTTTACAGTGTAATGGGATTTTATTTCATTAAGTTTATTAACTAATATTTACCTAGTTATTCTTTAGGCTCTCTAAAGTAGCTAATGATGACTAAAGGACTTGGCAGAAAAAGAGTATATATCACAGAGAAGTGGAAAGTTGAACGATTATATAAACAAAAGCGTAAACTTTGCTTTTACAGTAGCCAGATACTGTAAACTAAGCTGCTCTGTATAAAACGGATTCAGTCATCAGCGTTTAGCAAAAGTGAAACTGTAAGATGGTCAAACCATCTGCCACAAAGTCAGAGAGACGGCGATACGTCAGCTGCTCTTACACCATGTTTCTTTATTATGGTCTTTAAATGGCAATGCAACACAATGAAAGGTTAAAATAAACTGAGCTTCTAAGTGAATCAAACATAACCCACACAAATCCTTCTAAGGAACTGCCTGATTAAATAGTTAGTCACTAAAAACAAAGTTCAGAAACAACTTGGTAAAACCCACAAACTGATGTCGTTTTGATTACAACCGTCAGAGGCCACATCCTCTGATGGTTGTAGCAGATTTTGTACTTCTGAACATCAAACATGTTCAGAAGTACAAAAATATCTGTTTAAGGTGGATGAGAGGAAAAAGAAACGTCAGGAGAAACCAAAGTTCCTTTAAGCACATAAGAATAAAACCTCACCTGCCTTCAAGCTGGATTGTTGTGAAATATTAATTTCCCAAAAAAGACAAACAAAAAGTGGTAACACTTTATTTGAAGGGGGTTGAATAAGACTGTCATGACACTGTCATAAACATGACATAACACCTGTCATGAACATGAATAAGCCTTCATGAATATTTCTGACTGTTGTCATAAAGCGTCATTCGGTAAATTATGACACTTTTAATTCAAAATGTCTTTGTTATGACAACTTGACATTAACCAAAAAATCAT